AGGAGCAGGAGCAGTAGCAGTAGCAGGAGAAGAAGTAGTAGTAGTAGTAGTAGTAGTTAGTAGTAGGTAGTAGGTAGTAGGTAGTAGGTAGTAGGCAGTATATAGGTAGTAGGTGGTAAGTAGTAAGTAGTAATTGTTGTTGTTTTAGTAGCCACCAGTTGCCCTGCCAACGCCCCGGGGCCGTATGCTGAAGGAGCCAAGGACCGGCATTTTTGGAGAGGGAGTGGAGTGGAGAAGTGAGGGTCCACGCCAGCCATACTGTCGTGTCTGCTGCTTCTGCCGCGGATACTGCCTGCAAACGTAAGACCTTTCAGCCCAGACCATGTCGACAGTGGGTAGTGGCCAACCCTGGGGCTTCCATGGAGCCAGGCAGAGCCTCGAGAGCAAGGCTAGCCCGAAGCATCCGATGCCTCAACCTTTAAAACCTAGATGCGAAACCGAAAGAAGACAACCAGACTGCCGTCCAGCCTTGCCACAGTGATAACGGCTGATAAACGGTGGTAGCGGTGGTCAGAGGTCGTTATGACAATGACAACTAAACTTGTAACAATAGGTCTTGAATCCTGCAGGGACAAGGCGCCAAGTTGGCAAAGGTGTTGGTCCAATTGTGCGTCACCATGGTCTGTGGAAGCATCCCTTGCCCATCGGACCATAGAGAAGCCAGTGCAAAGCCGTCATCTCCCACTTTTGATCTGGGGATGATGGCTTGGCGCACTACATCGTTCGTCAAGGAACGTCCTCAGCGGAGATACGTTGTTGCTTGGAGCCACACACACACACACTCACTGTCTCACTCACGCACTCACTGACTCACTCACCGACTCGCTGACTCGCTGACTCACTGACTCACTCACACTCACTCACTCACTTACTCTCTCTCTCTCTCTCTCTCTCTCTCTCTGTGCTTTGCTTTGATTTGCCGGCTTTGAAGGGAAGAGTTTCGGGACAAGCGGTGAGCGTTCGAGTCTGCGCCTATCGCTCACACTGTCTCACCCCCTGAACTCGCCACTCCCAGTTTTCCCCCATGACACGTGAATCGGACAGACAAGTAACGAAAGAAGAACACGAGTCGGAAAAAAGGAAACAATGTGTCGGACCACAGGAAACTTTAACAGTAACACACTTCTCTACTTGGAAATCCACAAGTCCTGTCTCCTTGCTGTTCTATTCGCGTGTTGAAAGAAGGGGTGGATGTTAGACATGTCTCTATGCATTCTTTCCTTGTGCAAGGCGCCAAGCGGTGGGTTTTGACCCATGTCTGTAGATCGGCATCTTTTTGGGTCTCACGGGAGGTTCGGCCTACTTGTTTCCAAGGAAGGCTTGATGCAACACTGCAACACAGACATGTAACATGGCACAGCTCTAGACTTCATGAGATATTGTCTGCACGACTGTCAAAGCTCATGGACATGCACTCGCTCGGGCAGACCTTCATTTTCTCAGATTCTGCTGACAGGGCTCCATTGGCCA